TTTAGTATGGGCACCTTCATACAAGTAGAATTTCATAGTGGGCGTTTCATAGTTTCATTTAAGGCGAAAAAAACCGAACGGCAAAAAAAGGGGGGGTCGTACCGAACCCCCAAAAAAGGGGGGTCGTACAGGCTCGACCAAAATCCCCATCGAATGCTGTGCCCTGTTCCACATTTTCTCATCAATTAAATTTAACAGATTTTTCTTGCTTTTCAACCGCTTACGAGGGCGGAGCACTATGACGATAAAAACCATGTTTTCACACTAGTAAAACATGAAAAAAGATAAAATGGTCAAATAAATTAGCGCGTAGAAACAAAAGCATGACAAACCATGCGTGTCCGTGTGATTCCGCGACACAGTGTTAAGCAAAAAAAAAGGAAAAATGATCAAGGCCGAATCACAGTTTATCATTTCTTTTTAGAGCAGTGCACGGTTTTCGCTTTCCATTCAGAACTTCTCATAATGTGATTTTTTCAGAAACGCGATGTATACCTACGCAATGAATTTCGGTCAATACTTTTGATCAATACTTTGTTAGCAAGAGGCAGAAATCGATCGCGGCGATCTGCGGCGAGTGGATTGTAACGTGCTAAGTGACTCTGATTGTCACTGACCCACTTACCGAAAGATGCCGTGGCAAGTATTACTATGCCGAATTTGGACAGAGCACTCTAATCCGGTTCTTTACCCAGCTATCCGGAAGTGGCAAGGAAAAAACTACAAAAATTTGGGCGCGTCGCAAACGTGCCTGCTTATTCTCTGACTTGACCTAGTATTTTTAATATCACAGTTCACTTGCAGGAGAACCCCCTTAGGAGCTACTCAGATCCTTCTATGAGATTCAAAGAGGACATCGAGGAGGAACCGCAGGAGAGAAGAAGTTTAATTCAATTACTACTAAGATTTTACTATTAAGAACTTTATTACTGTTAACATTTGAAAGTAGTAAGTTTCTCTTGTAGTTGTTTGGGCACTTTCTTCCATTCAAGCACATTCTCGTAGAGTTCTTCCGCCGGATTATCAACAAGCACCTGACCGCAGAGCACCGTGAGCAGCGTCCCGTTGTGGATTTTACCTGAAAGCATGGATACTAGCGAAAATAAGGAGACCAGGCGAAAATCCACTTGGAATCCTCTATTATGGCACCCTAAGCCTCGTAGGCCTGTATACCAGTAGGATTCCGAAAAGTCCATTTGGGATTTGAAACCGATGAAGTGCTACAGTGTTTCTGGGACATCACCAATGACTGCAACTTCAGGTTTACATAGAAGTCTCCCGCCTAGAAGTCTTTCAGAATGAGGTTGAGAAAAGAGTCTTCCGCATATTTCGCTCTCCACCCGCAACCTATGCCGTGGCTATGCTGTCTAGGTTCGCGAGAAGAGAAGTTGCTTCAGGTTGCGGAACCCCCAGCAATTTTTTTACGCGTTTTGGGCGCTCTTAGCGCCTCCGCTACTTGTATAGATCCAATTATTCTAAACCAGTCACATGCAGCGAGGTAGGGAGTTCATAATCACAGTACGTGATAAGTTAGGATGTGGGAGGTGACAACGGCCGTGGAGTGCCAAAGAGGCGAGGGAGTCATACAAGAGCAGAAAATTGATGCAATTGAATGGATTTGGTTCAACATATGAAGATGTCTTCGCGCACCTGTTTTGTTCCTCGCCTGGGCCGCGAAAGGTTTTTGCGTGTATGTTCTCTGCGGGCTCATCCAAACCCCAAACAAGCCTGTAGTAGGGCGTATTGGGAAAGAGGGTTCCTTCTTCTTTCTTTCATGTTGGTAATCAAGATGCACTTGTAACATTTCAGTGGGACCGCACCACCCAAGACTTGCCAACGCATAATGTGCCTTTAGAAGCTCGAGGCTCGGAAAAGTGCTTTTTGGCATTGACCAGTGAGAACTATAGATAGGTATAAAGGGAAATGGGTACTAGTAAACACAAGACAGTCAAAAAAAATACCTGCCAGTAGATACTCTTTGCCAACGTCAATGAGGAGACCGCATGCAGGTGGTTCCGATGGCGTATAAATTTCACCTGGTAACGTTTTGAGGTCGGACGGCTTCTGTAATACACTTGATTGATTCAACCCAGTTTGGAGAGAACTTCTTCACAAATCACAACTATGCAAGGGTTTTGAGAGTGAGGAGCATAGCGGCCTTGGATTCAAAAAGGGCAACAACCGCTCGAAGTTAACGAGAATATATTCAGAGTAAGGTTCAATGATGCAAGCGGCGCACTCACACATTGCGTGCTCCTGTGGATTTGACTCCCGCCCAGGCCAATCAAGCCTGCTGCCCTCCGGGTCGGTAAATTGGTAACAGAGATTCATCCGGGAGGATAAGAACAAGAAGAACAGAACAAAGAACTGCGAACGGTCGTTAGAACAGAAGCCATTTATTGGGGATGTTCTCTTGAATAACAGCGGTGATTCTTCAGCTAATATATGCGAATAAACCTGACCTTTGAAAGGATGCAATTATTGGAGAAAATCAATCACCTTCGGGTGCTTTTTGCTAACTCCGACGTAACGCAGCATAATACGCGGCTTTTCGGTTGTTTCCGGAAAGCGCCAATCAATCTGATGGTAAGTCCGCATCAGTCTACCATCGATACTGCAAGGAAGAAATAGGGCTCCGAGAGGGGCTCAGAACGGCAAACACATCCAAGGAAGGCAGCAGCCGCGAAACTTATCTAGTTTTGAAGAGATAAAAAAGTCACTAGGAAATACCCATGTTTGGCTTGCTGCTCCTACAAGAGTAATTTTTGCCGGGGGAAATCGTAGGTAGTCGGAAGTGAAAGAAAGCGACTAGTAGGTGACTAATATCAAGTAGATCGTGCTAGAGGCAGCGATGGTTTATACTCTCGGTCACATAAAAATCCTTCTCCGTAGACAGACAGACAGACAGACAGACAGACAGACAGACAGACAGACAGACAGACAGACAGACAGACAGACAGACAGACAGACAGACAGACAGACAGACAGACAGACAGACAGACAGAACAGACAGACAGACAGACAGATACACACACACAGACGTTGCCGGTTTATATATAGAGGAGAGTATCTTCAAAGTACGCCTTCCCCAAATGTAAACAGCTGTGAAACTACTGTATAGTCAATGTGTGGTCTGTCGGTATTGGATGTTTAGTGGATGAACGGAAGCAGGGTGCATTTGCCTAAATTGTTGTGCAGTAAATAGTGGGTAAATAAACAAATAAATAAACATACTCATTTACGAATCCTTGATTTTGACTCCCATTCACTATGGCACATACCGTTCACTGCTATTATGCCACAGCTGTGTTTTGGGAACCGAATTATGAATTATTGCCGACGGCACGAACCACTTGGTATACTCCCCTTCGGTTATCCCTCACTAGCTTCATCTGCCCAACCATTGCTCAGTTTGTCACTTACTTCCGCCCCTTTCCTGGAGTTTTTTCGATGTGTTTTGAGGATTTTTGTCGCGCCGCCGACCGTTCACTTCGGCGAACGCCTCTGCATCGCGGACTTTGGGTGTTTATTTTTTTCGTATTCTTTTTTTTTTGGTTTTTGTGGTTGCGCTTCCATTACATTTCGGTCCGCCAAACTGTTTGCCTATTCGTTTCCCACAAATTCCTTTCTTCCGGATCTTCCAGAACCGAATTACGAATTTTTGAAAGTTCTGTAGCGAGCACCGCCCACCTATAGCACGCCCCGCCCATCACGGGTGTGACTCCCTCATGACTCAACTGACTGCTTATCCTTACCCACAATTTCCGCTCTCCGGGATCTTCTAGAACCGAACTACGAATTTTTGAAATATGTAGCTCACAACTGTGCGCACGCCCCGCCCACAGTGGGCGGGGCTTAGCTCAGTTCATGTGTGTTCCGTACATCTTGGCCCATGCCCTACCCAACCCACCCTTGACCCGCCCCCTCCAACTGGCTTCTTCAGGTGATTCCGAATTTCCGGACAGACAGACAGACAGACAAACAGACAGACGTTGCCGTTTATATATAGTAGGATACCGAGAAAATAGCAGCAATTCCCCACGCGTACGAAGGAAACAACCAGAGCCTCGGAGGACTGAACATTGAACCCCAGCTACCTCGAATTTACCATTTTTGTTGGACCCGCGTCCAGCCAATCCCCCCGCTGGCTCACCCCTGCCCTGCGCTGCAATTGCTCGTGCTCGTCGTTTCTGGGCAGCAAGCACTGCACCGAAAAACATAATTGCCCCGTCTACCCACCGATAACGTACACTGGACAGACGCAGTCGTGGTAAGATCGCTTTGGCACCGGGTAGTCCTCACAAAGCCTATTTATGACCCGCTCTTAGGTGTAAACGTCTATTCCATCTGAGCATTCTAAGCTTTTCTGCCGTTATGCACGGATTCGTCCATTTATTCTTTCCCTCAGACAAACCTTCAGAAGTCTCAGTCTTCTTCTCCTCTGCCACTGAAATCGATTTCTGCACAACTGAGGCTTTCATTCGTTGGTGCTTTCTTCAGGATTTGACTCTGACATGTGGCACTTAAATTGATGTCCACTTTCTCTGTTATGAATGATTGGATCACATGAACATTGCACAAGGTTTGCATGTATTCCAGGAGACCAGTTATTTGAGTTCTCGCCTCGTCTTTCAAGAGTTTTATGGACACTTATTATCACTGCAAATGAGAGGGCGTAAGAAGGCGCGTAACGCACTTTCAGAGCAGCCTTTCCAACTCATCGTTACGGGATCAGAACGGCGCAGTTTGTGGAAAAGGCGGCCTCACTATGCTCCAATCTACGCCCACACTAAAGAGGGGGAACTCGCTTGTAGTGTTAATGAATGTGAATGCAGATATTGCGCCAATTTTTGGAAAAAAGTGGATATTCGTGCCCACACAGTTCTTCCACTTCATGTTCATACCGACTAGCTCCAGTTTTTATTCTAATTGTTGATGATATCGATCTTTTTTTTTTTTTGTTTTTTTTTTTTTTTTTTTTTCTTCCGTTGATAACTTTTTTATTCGTTCAGTTTGGCTATTCTTTTCCACGTGTCACGCTTCTAAATATCGTCAAAGTGATAATCGACGAGACAGAGCCGTTATGCATGAGGGGAACAGTGATTTTATCGTAATTGATGCGATATACTCTCCTTATCCCTGAGACGGGGTAGGTGTGGCATGTGATCATGGCATAGAGTGGGTCGGGAATATTCGAGTTGAGACTTCTGCCACCTTGTTCAGTGCTGGAAAGAGACATGACCTCAATTGTGTCAAAATGAAAATGATCTCT